AAATGTAACAGAAGAAGAAAATAAATGCTGTTTAGAGAATTATTAAAGTCAACCAGCGTGTGTGTGTTGTTTATTTCACATTTCTTTTCATCATCTGCAAAGAGGAACATTCAGGAGGAGGCGCATACAACACGGACAAGACAATGGGGATGATATATATATACATATATATGCGTATGAAAAATCTTTTATTGTAAAATGTTCCTTCACGCTACAACGTCAGTGTACCTTCGTCTAGTTAAATGTTTTAACAGTACAAAAATTGCATTTTTACAAGTTGCAAGTTTACTTATGTGACTAAGGTATTTCCAGTTAGCAATCTGACGAATTCGAAGGATCTTATTACAGCTTACCTAATAATATTATTTTATCCGGAGAAGCTGCGGCAAAACGTTGAACACTAGTCTTGAGCGAGGTTTTGGGGGGAAAAAAAAACCCTCGCGCGTACACGGCGTCAATCACGCCTTAATACACAGGAAATTGCAATTTGTCATTTTTATTTAAAAAAAAAACAATTCTATTTTAATCTAAATCTCTGCCAAAGAATTCAACTTCCAAAAAGGCAGATTTTCTTCCGCGTTTTGCAACTTTATGTGTTCGGACGTTTATCAATGCCGTGTGTACGTACAAGAAGATTGAAGAAAGGCGTCCTGCGGCGCGCTTTCTCCGGTTATTTCGTGCCGACGCGCACAAAAATTGTTTTTTTTTGTTTTTTTTTTTTTTTGTTTCTTTTCCTAAAGCATCAGTCGCTACAATGCAGAGTACGGTTTTTATTTATTTTTTTTTTTTTTATCTTACTTAGCCGCACCATAACTAATCACTTTGCTAACTGGGTCGTCTTCAACGAAGGACTTCAACCATTCAGCCGGAAACTTGCATCGTCTCGTTCTCGAAATCGACATCGAGGAAAGTCATTCTAATATAAACTTACTACGCTACTTCTATTATTACTCCGCTACTCTCCAAAAGCACGATATATAAAGCATTCACATTTTTAAATGCCTGTTATGCAAGTGTCCAGCCGAAAAGTATTCCCGCGGATTTTATCCCCAGCGCATATCTCTACTTTCATATCTATATCTCCCAATTGTAAACCTAAGATTACCGAGCAGACAATAACAAAAACAAGACAAAAAAAAAAAAAAAAAAAAAAAAAATACCAATCGCGCGTGAGAAAGAGAGAAAGAGGAATCGTGGTTTTTTTTTATTTTTTTTATTTTTTTTTTTATTGAAACATCATTGATT